TTTTTCAGAGTTGCCATCAAAAATTCATTATTGGGGTGCTTCCATAAAATAGTATATTGGGGTATTGAGCACACTTAACATTGGTCTGTTTCAGGTTTTTCCATGTAGGTAACCAATAGTTTGCCTAGATTGGTCCTAACTGACTATGAGAAATAATTAATAGTGAATGAGGCATTCAGTTTTATAATATTATGTTTTAGTAAAAACAACTTCAAAAGTAAGTACTTCATTAAATATATTGATATATTAAAAGCTGTCTCCCAGCTACACGATAAGAGAAATATTATGGCTGTGTTCCTTCTGCAATTCATTCAGCATAAAGAATCCAAAGTGACTTTTTCATGTTTCAGACACAGAGTTTTCCTTTTGTTTGTAATAAAATTAAAACTTCTTTGTAGACAGGAGGCGTACATGATTTTCTGCTGCTTAAATATCTAATGAGACCACATACTCTTGCTATCATATATATTATGAGGATGTGATGATGATGTCAGTGATGAAGATAACAATGTTTTCAAACAGTTCTCATGAACCCCAGACTATTCTTGAATTTGCTGTGTAGCTGATGATAACTTTGAACTTTGGATCTTCCTGCTTCTCAAGTAGAGATCGCAAGTGCCCATCACCCAGAGCTGGCGCTGCACATATGCAGTGCTGGAGGTCAACCCAAGGCTTTGCGTGGGCAAGGCTGCCACAACTGAGCTACATCAGCACAGGCTTGATGTTCAGTCAATGCCTTCAGTATTTAAAATGATTTGTCTATTATGTCATTTACTACACATTTCCTGTGAAGTGTATGTCAGAATGAAAGTTCCATGGCAACAGGGAAGCCTCTACCATAACTAGATTAGAACTCAGAATATAGTAGAATTCAAGTGCATCTACTGAATAAATGATAGATTAAATGAATGAATGAATGGATGGATGAGTGAGTGAGTGAGTGAGTGAGTGAGTGAATGAATGAATTCTCTGCCTGGAGTTAAATGTAAGTCTCAGAATCATACCATATTACACAAATGTAGTTATTGAATGAGCTAAATCTAAATAAATATGACATTAAGAAATAAAATAAAAACTATAAATTTTTATTAGTCTTTGCTTTGCCTGTCAGAATAGGAATTTTACTAAGTGGGAATACAAGCCATCAGGCAAAACCAGGAATTGCTTTATGGAGGATGTGCCTCAGACAGAGCATGCCCTTTGTCTCTGGACTCAGTCTTTTCTTTTGTGAGATTTAAAGTTCCTGCCTACTCAGGCAGGTAGGTCTCTGTAAGTGCTTACCAACATTTTCTAGATCACTTGCAAAACGGCTCCAAGCTTCTCTTTTCTACTCATATCCTTGTCCTGTCGCATGCAAAAAATAATAGTAATAAGTTTCTCAACATTCTGTCTGGGTAGCATCCTCACTTCCAAGAGAAGGCCTTCACCCTCAGCTCTCCTCCTGTAGCAGTAAACTTGGTTTGCCCTGGGTTCTTGGGTTTCTAAAGCCTTTATTTGTCCCAATTGTCCTTTTATTGAGTTCACAGACTACAAATGAAAAAAGGCTATTACCAGACCGAGATGTTTAAAAATGAAAACCGAACTAATACATGGAGTCCGACAACTGGGATAAGAAATATAATATTTATAAAACCGAGTAGGAGGTTGCAATCATTGCTCTAAAATAAAGCATTAAATATTAATTCGAAGCAAACCTGTCTGTGCTCTGGCAAGCCTCGCTTTCATTAAAGTAGCATTGTGTGTTTCTCCGGAATTAACTCCCAAATAGGTAAATGTCTGCTGAGAAGTGAGCGCTCTGCTGTCTGCAGGAGCGCTACCTGCGGCATGGTTTAGAGTCTCTCTTAACCACTAAAGCCTTCCAGACCTTCACTTTGAACTAATTAATTGTGATTCTTCAGGTTCCTCTCTAGTTTTTTTGCCCTTGAGTATTGCTAGGAATGTTTAATTCACACACATGTTCATCTTCATTTGATTACTACAAATGCTGCTACATTATTTGATTAATTCACATGCTGCAAAATGTTAAATCTTAGGGAACATGGGTACCAGTTATAAGCTGGACTTACAGTTCTTTCCATGGCTTCATCATTTCAGAAATTTTCTGTCCTCATTTATTTACCTGTTTTGTGCCTATCACCTTCCATTTTTTTATTGGCATTTTTAGTCTTATGTTACTATTTCCTACCCAAAATGTACTCAAAAGGAAAAGAAACCTTACCTCACTACTTCTGCGTTTTCAGTGGGATGAGGTTTTTTAGTTACTATCGGCGAATGAATAACATTCCTCTAAAGACCAAAAATAAATAACCTTATAATCCTTAGTCCTATTGATTTTCAAATTATGATTTCAAATAAGAAACACCAGTTGTCCTTGTATTGACAGCCTGTGCAGTCCCCAAGCAGTCTCTATTGGATTCCTATTAAATGAAAGGGACGAGCAATAACCAAAAATCCAAAAAGTGGGTCTGAGATGGAGGAGAGGTGAGCACTGCTCAGCTGGGTAAATGGGTACTTAACCTCTGACCTGTGACGACAGGCCTGCTTTAGTTCCATGAGGCCAAAAGCAAGCTGTTATGATTAAATAAAAAAGAAAAGAGAAACTGTTCAGAGCCTTCTGAGCATGTCCTGGGAATTAAAGCATATGGCAAGGATAAGGAAAAAAGATTTTCCTTATGCTAATGATACCCGATGTCTGAAATAAATTAGATCCATTAGAGTTTATGCTCAATAAAAGAAAGACTTTAAGCACTCCAAAGTTAGTGACTCGAGACCAGTTTTTGCTCTGAAATTCAATCTGCCTACTTATTAATTCTTAGTAAGGCTCCAGAGCAAACAGGGGGCACAAAAATCATAGTTCTATACTGAACCAGAATTTTAAAGGACTATAGGTTTCTTTTCCTTTTTCCTTTAATGAAACCATTTTTTACATGTTTCCTATTTTGTCTTCCTTCATTAATTTGATTTTGTTCCCTTTTCTGTTTCATTGTTTTGTTTTGTTTTTTTCTTTTCAAGGATTCATTTATCCCATTTCAACTGAACACAGAACCCAGAATGAATATGGATTTTCTTGTAAGTTTGATGTTTGGGTTTTATGTTGGGAAATAATCCTTTAACATCATTGCCCCTGTTCAAGTTTGCCTTTCCTTGGCTCACAGATGTGCACACAGGAAATAGGAGCCTAATGTATTCTAACATGAAAAAACAAATTAGATTTCCAATGCTGAAAAGAAAAAAGGGTCATTTCAAGTCGCTGCCAGCTTTAAAAGCTATCAGTCTGCCATTGAAAGCATGAATTCCTGTCACTGAGAAAAGATATCATGAAATTGGCTGGTGTACATAAAGGGCAGGGTTCAAATACTCAGAAGGAAAGGTTGCGAAAATGCAAATCTGCTGTGAATCATGAATGTGTAACATAAAACATTAAGGATTAGAAATACTATTCTGATCCGGGTTACAAATTCTTCTACAGGGTCTCCAATAAAACCCCACAGCAAATTAGAGTCAGCATTTTGAAAGCAGTGTTCATATAATGAAGAGCATTGGGATGTTTGAGAGATGCTGTCAATATGGACTTGATTGATGGGAAAGTTAAACTACAGGGAAGGGTGGTATTTGTTAAAGAGGGCATTTTCCAACAGTAGATTCATGTAAACTGCCAGTGTAATTCAAGACTGGCACACAAGAGTGTGGGTAATTGCTGGCAACCCCTGGCAGATAAAATGCTGAGTTATTTCCACATGTAAACCATGTGGCTCCGTGTCTTAGGACAGAGGAAAGGCTTCTCAAATTTTAGAACACAAAACCTATAGATTTGAAAATTCCCACCCCTCTGGCTCCCCAAGTTTTATAAGTTGTTCTAGACTATCTGAAGCATCAATTTAACTACCTCTTTTACAGTGAGGAGACTGCAGCTCTGTTTGCTGAATATTTATGATGGGTCTAAAAACAAAGGTGTAACCGTCAAACTGAGGCAACAAAACTTTCATTTTATCTATGTTGTTTTAATAATCAGGTTCTGTCACCTTCTCCAGTCCAATCCAAGCATGTTTCATGTCACCAAAGCAACAGGCAACATTTATAAGAATATATATATATATATATATATATTAGAATATATATATTAGAATATATATATTAGAAATAACCCCCTGTGATAGCACCTTGTACTAGCCAAATGCTTATCCGACTCCTGATCATTGACCAAGACCTTTATCTCATACAGTACATCGGGGCCCTATAGCTTATTCCAGTAATGAGAAGCAATGGGAAGATCTAACAAGGGCCCACAAGAAGTTCAGGATTCTGGGAGATAGTAATGTGTCTGTATTAAAAGCTGGACATTGCATTGCTTCTGCCCCGAATCTGGGCTCCTGAAAGCACACCTTTCTGATCCAACAGGCTTCCTCCTTACATTTGTTTTCCTGTATTTGCATAGTCCCCATCCATTCTCACACTAATTTAAGAGGAAGAGAGGAGAGTGTGCAGGAAGTAATTTTATGATTTGGAATGGTACTTAAGGAAACATCTTGGTTGAATCCACATACAGATTAAAATCATACCAGATGTTTCTGAAAGTGTTTATGGTTTTTTTTGTTGTTGTTGTTGTTGTTCGTTTGTTTGCTTTTGAACTATCAGTCAATTAAAAAACCCTTCTAAACTTTTTCACCTGCAAAAAAAAATAGTAATAAAGTTTTTATTTCCAATGGTTTGGGATGTTTTGGTCTCTAGTTTCTTTAAATGCCTAGCAATAAATCATTCGTTATGCTGCCCAATTATAAGATAGATTAGTGGGTGGATTGATGCACAGTGAGAAAGAAAAAGAAATCGGTGATAATTTTCCACTGAAAAGCCACAGTCATTTTATATAGCTTTTGAAATAGACTTGAAATTAACCCATAAAAAAAAATGGCAATAAATGTCTGAAAAAATTACCACGATACGGATGTGTTCTACGGAAAGTTTCTAGAAGCAGTTGGCCTGATGTTGCATTCTCTTTCCAGCTGCTCCTGACTCGGATGATGTTGCTCTGTATGTAGGGATTGTGATAGCTGTGACTGTTTGTCTTGCAATCACTGTTGTGGTGGCCCTGTTCGTGTATCGGAAGAACCACCGTGACTTTGAGTCTGACATCATTGACTCCTCAGCACTCAATGGAGGCTTTCAGCCTGTGAACATCAAGAGTGCCAGACAAGGTCAGTAGGCTTTCCACCCTTTGAGTTATACATGGGAGTGAGCAATATACCCCATAGCTTCTGATTCAATGGCATTTGTGTCATTCAATTGAGTCAGAACAAAAGCTGAGTGAAGGCAGAGGTTTTGGCTGGCTTTATTTGTCATAGGAATAAAATAATTCTATATAATAAGTCAGAGTAGATGAGATGCACAGATCATTTCTGGTTTGTTTTTCTGACAGGTACTTCTGGCCTGCTTTTTAACTTCTATTTGAAAGAATGAGTACACTGGTTCAATGATTTTCTGCTCCCTTTTCCCTTTCTCATAATGCTTTTAATGCGGTGATGTACAGATAGATCCAAATTTAGCATATGCAAGCGAAACCATTACCAAATTGTCACTCAGGAGCTCTTATTGTTCTTTCTAATCTGTTGAAACGGTCAAATATCCTAAGTATCATGATTAGACCTCAAGGCAAAATACAGAAGGAGCAAGGTTACCCACTGACGGCCCATATCACAGTGTACACTGACACTATCTTGCGCTATTTTCCAGAGCTTTTGATCCCCCCATCTGTACTATTAGCCAAGCAGCATTGCCTTGGCTTAAAGCTGTGAAGAGGATTCTTGCTAATCTAGCTTGGTCTGAATGGAGAATGCAAACAGAATTCCTTTCTCTTTCTGACTCAGATCTCCTGGCAGTGCCCCCAGACCTCACCTCAGCTGCAGCCATGTACAGAGGACCAGTGTATGCTCTGCACGACGTCTCAGACAAAATCCCAATGACCAATTCTCCAATTCTGGACCCACTACCAAACTTGAAAATCAAAGTGTATAATACCTCAGGTGCTGTCACTCCCCAGGATGACCTCTCTGAGTTCACATCCAAGCTGTCGCCACAGATGACCCAATCCTTACTAGAGAATGAGGCCCTTAACCTGAAGAATCAGAGTCTTGCAAGACAGACTGACCCATCCTGCACAGCCTTTGGCACCTTCAACTCCCTTGGAGGTCACCTCATCATCCCTAACTCAGGTAATTCCTAAAAGTTTAAGTGACAAAGATGCAGCTTGAAAACATATTGGAGTCTCTAAAATCTTAACTCTGTCCTTATTGAACTTGAAATGTTAGATATCATCTACCTCAATTTTCCATTCAGTAGCTCTCAAACATTAAAATCTATACAACCATTTACCATCATCCAACCAACTCTGAATTCAGTTCCCCTGGAAAGAACCTTCTGCTGAGGTGTAATTCAGAACTGGCACTAACCATCTTGAAGGCACAATAGACCCGGGAACCCTCATGGTAGTCCCTGTACTTCAAAACAAACGAATTAGAAAATGCAATCAGTTGGTCCAGTGCGTTGTTTTCAAGGAAGCCATATTTCAGAAAATTATTTCTTAAATAATCAGAAATACAACAATAGATACAAATATAAAAACCTTCATTTATTAATTATTCAGTGTATCATTCAACAAGAGAATATCTTTTAGGTATTTCTTCTAGTCAATGATATATTGATCTACAATCTCAGCATCATTCAGTGTCCATTTGTAGTTTTACTTATGTTTAAGTTTGTTATATAGTTTATGTCTAAAGAATGAAAAGCACAACAGTCTTCCATAAGAACGTAAGTCAGTGGCTTCCAGTGTTGAAAGCTGGTGCTCATTTCTAGTAGTACTGATGGACTTGCAGCTGTAGGTCATTAGATAGCTAGTAACTATTTTCAGAGCACAGCCTAACGTTTCTGGAAAAGACTGTGAATATTATTCAATAAAATAGCAAAAATAATTTCACCAACCTATTGTGTTAATGTCATATAAATTAAGTATTATACCCACAACCGTATATATATATATATATAATTCCCACCAAGACTTTGGAACTAGGTCCTGCAGGTGATCCTGACACCAGCTCAAATTGCTTCAACCTTGTCAGAAGCCCAGTTCTCACACAGTTCATACCAAAAATCCCTCTCACAGGCACCATCAGCAACAATAAAGTGTTGCAGCTAAGTGAGATGTTGCTGCTCGTTTTCTAAAGTTTTACGTAATACATTCTTCCCATCTCTAACCCTGCTGTGCAATAACACTGAGGCTCACCAGATATTTCAGGAAAAAGCAAAACAACTTTTCTGATATGGCTGAGGTTAGCATTTCCCTGACTTTGAATTTCATGGGGAACTTTTTTTTTTATCAAAAACAATGCATCATTGCAGCTGTTTAAAATTTTAATAGCAGTTTTTGGTTTCCCCTCAATTTACAAGAAAAACAACAGTGGGACCATCTGTCTATTCCTTAAATAAAACACGAACTTTCAAAATGACATCACTCTCTTTAAGTAATTCCATAAAAGTTCAGAGGGAGCTATGGTGAAAAGCAATGCCATCAAGAAGGGAGGGCAACTACAGACCTTTACATGTCCTTTGGGAAAACTTAAAGACTAGTGCTACATGGGCACAAAATCTCATTCCCTTTTTACTAACTGCAAAGGCATTCTAGAAGTTTCTGTTTGCTTCATAAGTCTTATACAGTACTTCTCTCTTTTACTATTCAGGAGTAAGCTTGCTGATTCCCGCTGGGGCCATTCCCCAAGGAAGAGTCTATGAAATGTATGTGACCGTGCACAGGAAAGAAAATATGAGGTAAGTATGTTTTTTTTTTTTTCTGATACATTTTTTATCAATCTCTAACTTGGAGGAGAACTGCAAAGTAGAAACCACAGACCAAATATATTTTTGTCTTGAGTGACATACATTTGACTCTAGACCTATAAAAAACAAAAAAGTCAAAGTTTACTCCTCCTTTAGTTTGGAGCTTCAGATGGCGCATACCTTGAATGTGGATGAAATGTTAGAGATCTTTTCTATGAGTAGACACGTGGTTCTTTAGCAGAAAAATATGGCCAAAAACATGATTCATAGATTGTCTAAAGAGATGTGTGGATTTTCAGAGATAGGCTGGTTTCCAGTGACTTGGGTCAAGAATCTCATTATTGGGGAACTAAAGGTCACAAAAGTGGATATCCTTTAATGCCCCTCCCACCTCAGCCTAGAACAACCCATGTTGATTCTTTCCTTTGTAATTCTCCTCCAGCCCATTGGACTCATCAATCTTCCTATGCTTAGCTTTTATAATTAGACCTTTCAAAATGAGCCTAGTGTTGATTAAAACCAGACTGTATCCAAAGGTTCTATCTTGAATTTGAATGCATCATATTCATCAATATGAAGCTATTTTAAGTAAAAAATACTAAGAACAGGTTAGATGTCTTAAATTCAGTTTTAAGTTTAGCTTCTGACATAGCAGAGATGGTCTTTCTTGATTAGTTCCCACATAATGTGTTCTCTGTCTCTCTCTCAATCTTTCTCTCTCTTTCTTTCTCTCTCCCTCTCTATCTGTGTGTGTGTGTGTGTGTGTGTGTGTGTGTGTGTGTGTGTGTGTGTAGAAGCCTGGATGATTAATTCTTTCAAAATCACATTGAGATCTTAAAGCAAAAGATGTTTTGAAAATGGAGGTGCTCACTGAATATGTAGCATCACTGGCCTTGGGGAAAAGCATCCTTGGGCCTGGCTCTGAGCAGAGTGGTGACAAATGCAGGCCAGGAGACCATCCTCATGGGTGTCATCCCTAACTCTTATCCTCATCCTCAGGAAGCCAGCTCTTTTGAGTACTTGAGTAGCTGAAAAGCTCTTTTGTTGTGCACCCAGGTGGAGACATAGGTATTTATAACAGTGACCCAGAACATTTTTTCCTCTGGTAGTATCCTTTCAACTACACAAGCAATAGCCAGACTAAAAAGTAAAAAAAAAAAAAAGGCAATGAGTCCTTGAGCATCATTCCATGCCTTAAATTCAAGCCACAGGGGAAAAAAAATCATTAAAAGATTTGCATATATCAAAAATGTTTTTCATCACTAATGCAGAGCAACATTCATAGGCCCTTAGGGCTCCCTATTTGGGAGCAAGAAAAGTCATTAACAAACTCCAAGATTGATTTATTTCATTTTATTTTCTCTTGTCCTAAGCCAAAGTGAGCATTCAACTGACACTGACAACTAAGGCCTTTGATGCTCTGGGCAGTGCCTTTGACAGAAGTGAGAAGTGCTTGTACATTTTTGCCACAATGACGTGCACTGTTCATATCCTCCTTTATTCACCCAATTACCATGATCGCCAACTAAGGCCTAGACCATATTGGCTCACTGCCATGCCACGTTTTGATATGTCCTTCCTCACTCTCAACTAGTTTTCCCTTCAATCTTTGGGGGTATCTGAGTCAGAGCAGTGATTATCCATTTTGGATGGGGGGGAAGAAAATAGAATATTGATAAGGTCAAGCACCTCTTCCTTATGGTTCCAGAAGCCTTTAACTTTAAATAAAAGACACTAAAAGATACTGGGGGGAGGATTGCTCTATTGAATTTGGTTTTCATCAAGAAAGTTATACATATGGAAAATTCTCAAGATCTTTTTTTAATTTTTTATACAATATATTTTGAAAATATTGTTTTCCCTCCCCAACTCCTCCCTCACATTCATATAGCACATTTATATTTTCACGGTTGTTACATACATTTGTCTTTAAAAAAAAAAAAAAACTGAGCACTGGGGGCCCTGAACCAAGGACAACGCATGGAGAGGACCTCAAACCCATGCACAGCTGTAGCCCATGGCAGCTCAGTCTCCAAGTGGGTTCCCTAGTAATGAGAACAAGGATTGTTTCTGACATGAACTCAGTGGCTGGCTCTTTGATCACCTCCCCCTGAGGGGTGCAGCCTTACGAGGCCACAGAGGAAGACACACAGCCAGTCCTGATAAGACCTGATAGGCTAGGGTCAACTAGAAGGAGAGGATGACCTCCCCTATCAGAAAGCTCAAGATCTTAAAAGAAAAAAAGTGCAGGAAGTGGGAAGGGAAATAGCTCAGCATGTAAGGTGTTTGCCACAAAAGCATGAAGTCCTGATTTTGATACCCAGCACCTACATAGAGGCACAGCAGCACACACCCATAATCCTAGCATTAAGAAGCTAGAGACAAGAGAATCCCAGGGGCTTGCCAGCAAACCAGTTTAAATAGCCTGAGTAGCTCTAGTTTAAGTGAGAGATTCTGTCTCAGAAAATATAAGATGTAGAGCAGTTGAGGGAGATATCTGAAGTTCACTTTTAGCCTCCGCACATGAATACATACAACCCCCAAAAGAAAATACATGCCAGAGACTATGAATCAAGGATAAAACACAAGATGACCCCTCAAATAAATGAGGAGACTTCACACCACTAATTTTCTGCTACATCACACTGTGTGTTTTCTCTGCAGAATCACGGTGGAAGTGTATTTCAGAATGAGCATCAATGTGAACTATTGCTGACGTTCATTCTGCAGACTCTTATGTGTGCTTCCGTCTTAGAGAAACTGTTATGATGAATATCAGTTTATGATGAATATCAGTTTAAAGGTGACGGAACTTAAACCTCGGGGAATCAAGTCTCAACAAGAGGTCTTACACAGTCACTGAGCAGGGCTAAGCACAACCCAAGTTCATGTGAGCCCAGAGCTCTTTTGCTTTCCAAGGGACATCCTTCCCATGTACACCGCTCCAAAACCCCCTCCTCCACCTTCTCACCACCATACATTTGCCTACACTTGCCAATGCTCAGTGAAGACCTTCACGATCTTCACGCAGTTCAGATGAAAATTGTCGGAGAAGTCGGGGCAAGGAGATCAGGAGATAAGTGACACCTGAAGGCATTTGGGGCAGAACCGGGAACACTCTTTTTCTCCATTTCTTTTTTTCTTTCTGTCTGATTCCTTTCATTGCATCCAGAACTGGCTGTTTCCAGCTGGATGGCACCCAGCTGGTCATCTGCTGATGGGAGTTGTCTGAAGGGAGGCGTGAACTTAATTACATGTGGCATAGTGAATGTGACAAACGGGCCCCGTCATTACTGAATGTTCTCTATGCAGAGCACAGGCTGGCAGATGCTTGGCCTAAATGAGCCAGAGACAGAACAAACCATGTCTGACCAAAGAAGGTGAAGAGTTGCGAGGCTGACTTTGCAGGGATTTCTTCCTCCCCTACTTTGCACGGCTCTGGAAAAACTACAAAGCCTCAGTTTTCCCCATGAATACAATTTCTATGGCTCATGTAGGAATGTGGTCCTTTCTGTCTTGTTTCTATAATGATTTTTTTTTTTTAAATCTCATTGAGACCAAAAGGCCATTCTTTATCAGGTCTTGTGGGCAAAATAGTTTGAGATCTGAAAGTTAAATTTTCTTTTTTTTTCCCCCTGTATCCTATACTGCCTCATAGTTTCTTCAATCAAAAGGACTACAGTTCAGAAATTCCAAGTGTGAAAATGAATAGGACTCTCTATGTAAACTGTGGAGAGCCACAGGAAGTTTATGGACAGCTTAATGACACAGGACTAACACTTCTTTTTAAAGAGTGGCGTGCTGACTGCTGGTGTGACCTGCTGGAAGAGGGAGCAGTAGGTCTTCCTGAAGGTTCTGGGTTGGGCTGCAGACAGGTGAGAGAGGAGCGTGGCAGGCCTGAAGACAGGGGAGTAAAAAGTGAAAATTACTACAGAGCAAAAAAGTTTTGTTTTGTTTTGTTTTGTTTTTAACTAGCCAGAAATGTTGCGGGGGAGGTGTGTAGAATATGTTGAAGACAGAATGGTGGGAGGTATTAGGGGTGGGGGCAATGGGAAAATTCCCATTCTGGTTTATTTTTAATGAAACTAAACATGAAAGGATAAGGTGGGCACATGGTTTATATCTGACCCAGGGGTAATATATGATAGCTCTTCACTGAAAATACTTTGAACTAAAGGATAACTATGTATAAGGTATCCTTGTAAGCCATGATGTAAGAGAATCTCCTTTTTTTTTCTTCTTTTGTTTTTATTGGGACAGGGTTTCCCTGTGTAGCCTTGGACTGTGTCCTGGACTGGCTTTTTTGACCAGGCTGGCTTCAAACTCACAGAGTTCTACTTGCCTTTGCCTCCCTGAGTGCTAGGATTATGGGAGTGCACCAACCCACCTGTCTGGTATAAGAGAATCCTAAAAATCAAAATTAAAGAGGTGTTTGACAGTGGTGATGCTAAAATTGAAATGCAAATAATAATAAGGAAGAACCGTTTTTAAAACTACTAAGTTTGTCAACTATAGTATGTTGGTGGTCTTTAGCATTCTTCTCTTGGTAAAATCTATGTGACTAGTCTAAAGTATGAATTCGTGATGAGGTAATGAAAAGACCATATATATCCATATGTACCATAAAATGTGTAGTGATGTATAGATAAAGTCAGGTGGGCAGTAGGAATATAAGTTAATGGCATAATGAATTTCCTGGGATAGATAATAAATTGACTATTTCATTGCTTCCAGGGAGAAAGGTAGCCAGATGCATGATACATGTCTGAAACTTTAGCGCTCACAACACTGAGACCAGAAATTTACGAGTTCAAGGCCAGCACAAGCTATAGCGAAAATCTGTCTCAATAAACATGAAGAAGGAAAAAAGAAAAAAAAAAGGCTTCACTAAGCTTTCATATCCGCAGAAACAATATAGCTAGAAGTAGTCCATCTCTTTTCTCTCTGCTTCCTCATAAAGAACACATTTTGAGTCACTAAGATCCTGAGAT